CTTTTTTTTTCAGGATCTGATTTGTATGAAATTATTTCACTAGTGTCCAAAATGTTTTGTATGAAGGAGAGACATTTTTAATGAAATTTTCAAAATTCCAATTTTGAAGTCTGAATTTGAGTAAAAAATCCAAAAGTGAAGTTGTGGTTAAATGAAATTGTTACCGTATTTGTACTTCACTTTCAGAAGTTTGACAAGCTCCAGCTTCATTTTGACTTTAAAATAGAAATTTTGTTGAATTCTGACTCTGAATTTAGAATCTACTGATTCTGAATTCTTCCTCTATGCCTTTGTGGTTTTGTTTGAATTAATTTTAGAAATCCATGGAGTTTCACAAGTTTCAGTATTGGGACTAGCGTTATTTCTCAGTTACACTAATTCTCTGATTATTCTCTGATGATTAATCATTTGAAAAAGCTAATGTTTTAGCGAAACATGTTATGATTATTTTCAATAAAGTTAGTGGAGATTAAATCGTTTAAGTGTAGTTTGTGAAAATACACTAATTCTGTTGATATTTTGAAATGGAGTTTTTTTTTTATTACACGTTTTATATTAGCTTGACCTGTATGTATGTATGTTTGTAAATCTCAAGCTCGGGATCTAAATTTGAAAGAATTATCGACGTTATTGCTTGATCTATTCGCGGGCAGATGGCGCTCTACGTAACCTCCTTGATATATCGACATTATTGCTTGATTTATTCGCGGGCAGATGGCGCTGTATGTAACCTCCTTATTTCTTCCAGGTTCATACTTTATTTTCAGCTTCTAATCAAACTTTTTCCTTTCAGCTTTTCAGTATACAAATTTAAAAACACAAAAATTCATCTTCGATGTGAATATAAAAAATATTTTAGAGATTCACACCACGAACCATTAATTTTAGTTGCGCTCATAGTCACTTCCCGCATTAAAGTTCGTCATTTTACAGGTCAAGAAAGATTTCATTGCCATGCTTCGAGAGCATTCCGATATCGACCGGCATTCGCACTGGTCAGAAGTCAAAAGGAAGGTAGACTCTGACGCTAGATACAAAGCCGTAGACTCGCACGGTCTTCGAGAAGACTGGTTCAGAGAGTACTGCAAGATATTGAAGGACGAAAAGAAGAAGGCGAAGGAGAAAGATCGCGAACACAAGCGAGAAAAGGAGAAGCATAAGAAGAAGGACAAGGATAAGGACAAGGAGCGTCACTCCAAGGAGAAGAAGGAGAAGGAGAAAGACAAGGAGAGGGAGAAGGAGAAAGATAAGGAAAAGGAGAAGGACGACTCTAAGAAAGAGGACGACGAGGAATCCATTAAGGAGGTTGAGGTGAGTTTCGGATATGATGTAATACAAGAGGGGATGATAATGTTCGTCTATCGAAATTCAAGTCGCACTCAAAACTCAAAAAATTGAATCAGAATAATGTAAGTAGTTGGTTTAAGCCGGTTTAGGAACCTCCTCCCACCACTTTAATCAATTAACGACCTTCACATACGTCGCACGATATGGTCAAGGTGACTTTGAGGGGGCGCTTTGAGTTTGGACATCGACCTACGTCGAATTTGAGGTTGTGTTTTGGGTTTGAACTTGATACACGCCCCATATTTCAGAAAGGGTAAATCTGATCTCGAATGAACCCGAGCCAGTCACGCAACGATCTTGAAGTTTTAAGGTTTCGACCTAGAACAACCTCCAATTGCTTGATCGAGTTTGTTGTAGAGTCATATTTTTGACAAGGTGAGTTTGACTTCGAATTAACTTGAGCCATGTTACGCGGCAATTTCGAAGATTTAAGGATTCGATCTTGAACGACCTTCATCTGCGTTGACGAAGAGGCTTCTGGAGTTACGTTTTTTGTTTGACTTTGAGTGACCCCCTGAAATTTCACATGCCTTTGTTGAAGCGAGTTTATGGGGCTCATTCATTACTTCACTGAAAAATCAAAATTGTTATGTTTGAGGATAGATTTCACAATATATTTTGGTATCACCAAAAAAAAATTGAGTGTCACTAATAGTTTTAGGGTGAATAATTTGATTTTCGGAGATTGCCATTGACTTTAATACTTTCTTGGAATTATTCAAGTATGCAGTAAAAAACTATGTATCTACTCTTTAGTTCATTAACTTATTATTAAATTTTTGACTTTGGTTTTTATAAAGAAATCGTTTATTTATTTTTTTTCGTTAAGAGAACTCGTAATTAGAATCACTCAATTTGGCTCTAAATAGGTAGGTTTTTGATCAAAGTGCTCTGTTTCATTTCAGGAACCAGAAAAGGAAGAGAGCGATGATGAAAAAGAACAGAAGGACAAAGACAAGCAGGCAAGAGTCGAGGCTAGCCTCCGCGAAAGAGAAAAGGAGGTGCAAAGGACATTGGCTACTCACATGAGAGACCGTGATAAGGAAAGAGAACAACATAAACGAGACGAAGCTGTGCAGGTAAGAAAGAAAGCTTCCATTGATCAATGGCGGCACAGTATCAAATAAACCTTTTTTTTTCCAGCATTTCAACGCACTTCTCTCGGATTTGGTTAGGAACTCTGATCTGAGTTGGAGAGAGGTGAAGAGGATCCTTCGGAAGGATCACAGATGGGATCTGGCTGACAGCCTCACCAGAGAGGATAAGGAGAAACTGTTCAACGAGCACGTCGAGCTGCTGATCAAGAAAAAGAGGCAAAACTTCCGAGAATTGCTGGACGAAACCAGCGAGGTTTCTTTGGTGAGTACTTGGAAGGAGATCAAGAAGTTGATAAGGGATGACCCGAGGTATTCGAAGTTTGCTTCGAGCGAAAGGGTGAGTTGATTTACTTTGATATTACTATTACTATTGAGAGATGATTTTGTCACACATATATTGATCTGTGACATATCTACAAACAATATAATAATAATAATAAACAGAAGAATGTGGAAATAAAAAGAAAATACCTACCTACCTCCCTGAGACTCAACGATCATCTAAACATAAATAACATAATCACTCCTCATCAATTTGGGTTTCAGGAAAACAAACCACTAATTATGCTTTCAATGTAATTTTTTTTCAGTGCGAGAGAGAGTTCAAGGACTATTTGAAAGACAAGTTATCAACGGCCAAAACCCAGTTCAAGGAGCTCCTCCACGAAACGAAGCTGATAACCCACAAGTCCTTGCAAACTCTCAGAGAATCACAAGGACACATGCAAGAGATCGAGGACATCTTAAAGAACGACAAGCGTTACCTAGTCTTGGACCACATTCCTCAAGAGAGAACGCAGCTGGTGCTGAATTATTTGGAGGAACTCGACAGAAGGGGGCCTCCTCCTCCTCCGACAGCTAGCGAGCCGAACAGAAGAAGTATCAAGTAGATTTTTAATGTTTCGAAATTGAATTTTTTTTGTTTGGTTATGTGTAAACACATACCGAACTTTCACATAAAACCGACCAGATTTTGTTATTGAAGTGCGCAGAGGGGAATATAGTATCGATTTATTTTAGGATGATAGTTGAGCTTGAGAGAAATATGATGTTGAGTAAATTTTGTAGGACAGTATGTTATTAGGATGCATTTTATAAATGGTAAATACATTTTGAAGATTTTGACGTTTTATTCCTTTGATATTGATTTTTCCATAGTTCCACACTTTGAAACATTTTCGAGTAAGTATTGATGAGGCTTGGTTTCAGCTGCTGGAAAGTCTTGCATTTCTAATCCGAAGATAATAGCACTTCAAATCAATATAAAGTGTATTCAAGAAACACTTGTCTATACAGAAGCTAATGTATAGCGAAACACGTGTTTCTTGTAGGCGTATCTATACTATGCAGCTACGCCTGAAGAAGCTATTATATAGCGAAACACGTATTGCGTTTTTGTAAAACGTCTAGAGACAAGTATAGAAACGCCTGAAGAAGATACAGTACAGCATGTTGCGTGCTTGTAAAACGTCCAGAGACGTGTATAGAAACGCTTGAAGAAGCTATTGTATAGCGAAACACGTGTTGCGTTTATGTAAAATTGTTTAGGGAAACAAACAGGCCCAAAAGAGCTATTTTTACATAGTTTTACCAAAACTCAGTACGTGTATATAGACGCACCTACACTATAGACACGCCTTTATGGTAAAACACGCCTGAAGAAGCTATTGTATAGCGTTAAACATGTTGCGTTTTTGTGAAACGCCTAGAGAAGTGTATAAACTCCTAGAGAAGTGTATAACCGCATGAAGAAGCTATTGTATAGCGAAACAAGTGTTGCGTTTATGTAAAATTGTTAAGTGAAACAAACACGCCCAAAGAAGCTATTGTTACATAGTTTTAGCAAAACTCAATACGTGTATATAGACGCACCTATACTATAGACACGCCTTTATGGTAAAACACGCCTTTATGGTAAAACACGCCTGAAGAAGCTATTGTATAGCGCAAAACATGTTGCGTTTTTGTAAAACGTCTAGAGAAGTGTATAAACGCCTGAAGAAGCTATTGTATGACGAAACAAGTTTTGCGTTTAAATAAAATTGTTTAGTGAAACAAACACGCCCAAAGAAGCTATTGTTACATAGTTTTACCAAAACTCAATACGTGTATATAGACACGGTAAAACACGCTTGAAGAAGCTATTGTATAGCGTAAAACATGTTGCGTTTTTGTAAAACGCCTAGAAGTGTATAAACGGCTAAAGAAGCTATTTTATAGCGAAATACGTGTTGCGTATTTTACCATATAGACATATCTATACTGTAGGCGTATCTACACTATGTATACGAGCCTGAAGAAGCTATTGTATAGCGAAACACGTGTTGCAATTTGTAAAACGTCCAGAGACGTGTATAGAAACGCTTGACACACGTGTTGCGTTTTTCAAAAACTTTAGTGATACCGAAGAAGCTATGGTTACACAGTTTTATCAAAACTCAACTCGTTGTTCGCTATACAATAGCTTCTGTGTCGACACGCTTGAGGAAGCTGATATACAGCGAAACACGTGTTGCTTTTTCGTAAAACTGTTTAGTGAAATAGACCGTTTTTTGTATAACGTCTAGAGATGTGAATAGAAACGACTGAAGGAGCTATTTTATAGTGAAACACGTGTTGCGTGTTTTACCATATGGACGTGTCCATACTGTAGGCGTATCTACACTATGTATACGAGCCTGAATAAGCTATTGTATAGCGAAACACGTGTTGCGTTTTTGTAAAAACGTTTAGAGACGTGTATAGAACTTTGAAGAAGCTATTTTATAGCGAAACACATGTTGCAATTTGTAAATCGTCCAGAGACGTGTATAGAAACGCTTGAAGAATCTATTGTATAGCGACACATGTGTTGCGTTTTTCAAAAACTTTAGTGAAACAGACACAACCGAAGAAGCTATGGTTACACAGTTTTATCAAAACTCAACTCGTTGTTCGCTATACAATAGCTTCTTTGTCGACACGCCTGAGGAAGCTAATATACAGCGAAATACGTGTTGCGTTTTTGTAAAACTGTTTAGTGAAATAGACCGTTTTTTGTAAAACGTCTAGAGATGCGTATAGAAACGACTGAAGGAACTATTTTATAGCGAAACCCATGTTGCGTTTTTATAAAACGTCTAGAGACGTGTATAGAGAAACGCATGTTGCGTTTTTGTAAAACGTCTGGAAACGTGTACAAAAACACTGTAAGAAGCTTTTGTATAGCGAAACACGTGTTGGGTTTTTTTAAAACTGTTTAGTGAAACAGACACCATCGAAGAAGTTATGGTTACACAGTTTTATCAAAACTCAACACGTTTCGCTATACAATAGCTTCTGTGTAGACACGCCTGAAGAAGCTATTGTGTAGCGAAACACGTGTAGCGTTTTTGTAAAACTGTTTAGTGAAATAAACCGGAAAAGCTATTATTACTCAGTTTCACCAAAACTTAACACGTGTCTATAGAGACACCTACAGTATAGACACGTCTATATGGTAAAACACGCTTGAACAAGCTATTGTATAGCGAAACACGTGTTTCGCTATACAAACACGTGTTTGGCTATACAATAAATAGGATGACGGGATGCAGCTGAGTGGCCTCCTCGGTCACCCGACCCAAGTCCAATATATTTTTTATTGGAACACTTAAAAAAAAATTATCGCAAATCCACTGTACTCATTGGAAGACATGCAAAGTCGAACGATTAATGTATGTCGCAAAGTGACACCGCAAATGGTCCAGAACGTTCATCGGTTGGCATTTCAAAGTATAATAAGGAGTTGGAGGATAACACCCCCCTTTACAGAAATGAATATTCTGCAATGAATTTTGAGTCACAACCTGTTCCACTCACAAACATCTTGGCGGTTTTTTGGATTTTCTTTCTGTGGTAGTTATGTTTTGCGGTATGTTTTAGATGATCTACTCTGTATAGTCGAGTGGTTATACTGAAAATTAATGTCGCATGATCAGTTGACGTAAATTGATATCTTCAATATCAGATAGTCAAAGGTCTTGGTGATAAATATTGAATCTGAGAGGTGTATCCACTCAATAATTGAAACGAAATATCTTTATTCTGAAAATTAGTGAATTTTGTCACGTGAATCTAAATATGGATACGAGTACCTATACATGTTGCTAGCTAAAAGGTGGCTAATATTTTTAATGAGCAATGTGTAGAAAAAAAGCTTCAATTCAATACCAAAGACAAGAATATCGGCAAAGTATAAAAGGTCCGATGTTTCACACTAAAACCGACCAGATTTTGTTATTGAAGTGCGCAGAGGGGAATATAGTATCGATTTATTTTAGGATGATAGTTGAGCTTGAGAGAAATATGATGTTGAGTAAATTTTGTAGGACAGTATGTTACTGTTTGTAGGATGCATTTTATAAATGGTAAATACACTTTGAAGGTTTTGACGTTTTATTTCTTTGATATTGGTTTTTCCATAGTTTGTCCCACTTTGAAACATTTTCGAGTAAGTATTGATGAGGCTTGGTTTCGGCTGTCGGATAGTCTTGCATTTCTGTTCCGAGGTATTCAAGAAACACTTGTCTATACAGAAGCTAATGTATAGCAAAACACGTGTTTCTTGTAGGCGTATCTATACTATGTAGCTACGCCTGAAGAAGCTATTATATAGCGAAACACGTATTGCGTTTTTGTAAGACGTCTAGAGACAAGTATAGAAACGCCTGAAGAAGCTACAGTACAGCGAAACACATGTTGCGTGCCTGTAGAACGTCTATACAGAAGCTAATATATAGTGAAACACGTGTTGCTTGTAGGCGTATCTAAACTATGATATTTTTAATGAGCAATGAGTAGAAAAAAAGTATAAAAGGTTCGATGTTTATGTGTCAGGAGGGACAATGCCAAAACAACTCTAAAGCGTTCCTGTCCTATGTAAAAAAGGTAACTAACCAGATTGGGAGAATTCTGGATAAATCCAAAGTGGAATTGGTATTCAGGTCAATTTAAACCATTTCTTTCCTAATAGTTGAAAATAATAATTTTATTCATTCATTTCATTCTCAAATTTCATTCCTAACTTTGTTGAAGCAGTATAGCGTGCTCGCAGTACGAGATAAAATTCCAAGTATCTGAGAGGGAATATAAAAGGGTATCAAGATGACAAATAGTATAGTAAGTGAAAACATGTTTCTTTTTTCAGTAACCCTCGTTTTGACTCTTCAGTTTTCCTTTTTATCTGGCGCCCCATCTGCCACAGGTGAGATTATCGAATATGTTTGGCAGTTGTATAGAATCCTGAAAAATTTTAAATGCAATGAACTCGGTGCAATGATCTTCAACAGTGAATATGGTATGAATTAAGTAGTTGGCAAATAAAAGATGCCTTTGTCTCGTAAAATCGACCAAACAGTCTTGTGTCGTCTCATTGCAGAGATATATACACGCTCATATTTTTGCTATTCGAAAAAATACAATATGAATTTTTGCACACCTAGACAGTTTGGCGTCGTGTCCCACGAATTATTATTTTTCTTGTCGATTTTTTAGTGAACTATTGACTTTACTGACTTTCAACTAGGCTGGCCTTCCCTACGTGTTGGCAATGCTTATATATCTCGTTGGAAGTATCAGATGGAATTATTCTCGAAGCTAGGCGGCACCTAGAAGGACCGAAAACACACGTAGGGTTGATGGCGAGATTGACAACAATATCAATTCCTTGGACTGCGATTCTAGCGACTATACTTGCTGAAGAGGTGGAAAATTTAGTTTTCTGTAGAAGTTTCGATTACTACTCAAATTACCTCTCAAAATGTCAGTGGACTGTGACAAGTGGTAGTTATTTTTGTAGATAAATGATCGTGAGTCTTCGACAAAAAATATACATTTTATTTTAATGAATAGTTCGCGTATTACGACTTCTGAGGGTTATCTTTCGTAAATTATTTAGATTTTAACAGATAGCTAAAAGGTGGCTAATATTTTTAATGAGCAATGTGTAGAAAAAAAGCTTCAATTCAATACCAAAGACAAGAATATCGGCAAAGTATAAAAGGTCCGATGTTTCACACTGAAACCGACCAGATTTTGTTATTGAAGTGCGCAGAGGGGAATATAGTATCGATTTATTTTAGGATGATAGTTGAGCTCGAGAGAAATATGATGTTGAGTGAATTTTGTAGGACAGTATGTTACTGTTTGTAGGATGCATTTTATAAATGGTAAATACACTTTGAAGATTTTGACGTTTTATTTCTTTGATATTGGTTTTTCCATAGTTTGTCCCACTTTGAAACATTTTCGAGTAAGTATTGATGAGGCTTGTTTTGGCTGCCGGATAGTTTTGCATTTCTGTTCCGAGGTATTCAAGAAACACTTGTCTATACAGAAGCTAATGTATAGCAAAACACGTGTTTCTTGTAGGCGTATCTATACTATGTAGCTACGCCTGAAGAAGCTATTATATAGCGAAACACGTATTGCGTTTTTGTAAGACGTCCAGAGACAAGTATAGAAACGCCTGAAGAAGCTACAGTACAGCGAAACACATGTTGCGTGCCTGTAGAACGTCTATACAGAAGCTAATATATAGNACTAAAATATATTTAATAAATACAAAACAAAGTCACGTTCACAAGAAACTGAACACACTACGCCTATGCAGAGGAGGACGCTTCATAATGAAGAAACCGAATGACTAGTTATGGCATTTTAAGGACGCAAATATAATAGACCTGCGAAGTGTTGATCAGTTTACCGATGTTTCAAAGTGTTTAAGGAACTGGTTTACCTATTCGCTCGTACATCCTATCGACAAGCAGAAGCTATCTTGTTACGGGGGGCAAATTTTATGACATAGACAATAAAAATGACCCCGGTAAGAATTTAGTTCTAATATTTAACATTGTTGCCGTTAGTTCTCAGTTCAATTTGTATATGAGTTACCTTCAATTGAAAATTGTTATACTGTACATTCATCCATCCTTACAAACTTTACGCATTTATAATATATGCTGAGGCTATTTAATATTGTATAAGTGGGTACCTAGTGATTCACTGACACTCTTATATTAACGTACAATCTTGAAATATGCAGGTAGGTTCTTTGTATGGCATAAATAATCATCAAGACACGAAATCAGGAATTTCCACCCTCAAGGGGGAAAACAGGGGGATTTGCGGCAGAGATTTAAAAAAATGTAGCAGTTTGTATGAATATAAATAGCGAAACAAAGTTGAAATTGCACTAATCTCAATTATGGAATTCCTGCTGCAATTCTAACTGGCAAAGCGAAAACTTTGAGCGGTTGTGGACTGTACGACATAGCGGTGAGCATTAGCGATTAGCGACAGCAAAAATTTAGGAAAAGCACATGAACAGGCATAATAGATAATCTTACATTTTAAAACTGCGTTCGTGGTAATAGCGAGCTACTCCCGTAGGTGGGAATTATGGAGAAAATATAAATTTGACGATGTTTCAAGAACGGTGGAAGAAAAAAATTGAAACTTTTTGTAGAGCCAGATGAATTTAATTGATTAATTTTCAAATATTCTGAATATATGTAAAACATTACTTAAAGGACCATTTTTTTCAAGCCAATCTCGACTTACCTATACCGTAGGTTGATAGTCTGATACCTATAAGTAAACAACTACTACCCTGGCTAATACCACGAAGGGCGTTGGATTATATCTAACAGTTGTCAGTGCAGGAATCTTCACGGAAGTATTTCCTGCATATGCTGTTGGCGATACAACTTCTGAAATCGATTTTCAATTACAGGAACGGGCAGAAATGCATACCGGTTTCGGGCCATTTGGCCTCTCGTCAGTGCAAAGTAGTGGCCATCAAATTTAGGTTGATGATATTCCATTATTGAAAATCGAATTCCTTTCTGAGTATCATTCCTCGAACAAAGCTAAAGCGAACGACAAACAACAATTTTGTCGTCGCTCCATCTGGTAAACAACGTCAAATAAACCTACAGTATAGATAAGTCGAGATTGGCCCGAAGAAATTATTCTTTCAGTTGATTTGATTATCGCCAACAGCATATACAGGAAATACTGCTGTGAAAATTCCTACGCCGACGTCTGTTGGATATAATCCAATGCTCTTCGTGGTATTAGCCAGGGAACTAGTTGTTCTTTTAGCTTTTCATCTTACCATTTCTCCAACTTCATACATTTTCTGGTATAAGTAACACAAAAATGGATTTCTTTTGAAAAATGTTTTTTTACAGAATGCGAGATTGATCCATTTTCTGCGAATGCTCCACTGCTAATCGAAAACGGAAAATCATCCATCATTTATCCACAATACGGCGAGAGAACTATCAGAATTCAAGCAGGACATGTGGTGGAACTGTCCTGCCCACAACGTGAAGTACTCACCAACGGAAAGTCATCTGGCTCAATTGTTGTCGCAACTTGCGTGTCAGGTGGGAGATTCAAGATGAATGGCCAGACTTTCAACTGGGAAAAAATCGTCTGCAGCGGGGTTCCCGTATCTACCAGCAGGATTACCAATGGTAAATGCGGCAAAAATGGTCAGTCAGCAGAGATTGGGTTCAATTTGGACAACAGCCGTTTTCTGACAACCATGGAAATTTGTTTTGATACCGTGAAGCAGATCGCACTATATTCCCATTTCGAAATGAGCTCCACCATTTCTATCAGTTCCAGTGATACTCCCAGGCCACAGTTCCATGAAGACAGCGGTTTCTATCATTTGAATGGCGAGAAGGTAAACAACCTCTACGTGAGGAAAGGTCAGCGTAAAACTATCAACGGGCTCTTGGGACTTTCTACGGATTCTGTGAAGTATATTCAAAACGGAGTTCTGTACTTGGCAAGAGGTCATTTGACCGCCAGAGCAGATTTCGTATACGCAGCTGAGGAAAACTCCACATTCAAGTACATCAACGCAGCTCCTCAGTGGCAGAGCATCAACGCAGCCAACTGGAAACAGGTGGAGATGGATACAAGAAACTATGCCAATGCCCACAAGGTGGGTTTACAGGTCTGGACGGGTACTTACGGGGTGGCGTCGCTACCCCACGAGAAGACAGGAAAAGACATAGAGCTATATCTGTACGCCAACTCTGACTACAGTGCCATTCCTGTACCAGCGTTATACTGGAAAATTGTGTACAATCCGGTCAACAAGAGAGGAATTGTGCTGATAGGGGTCAACAATCCGTTCTTGAAGGAGGAACAAATGAAAAAGTATATCATTTGTAGAGATGTTTCAGATTCAGTGAGTTGGCTCAAGTGGAAAAAAAGTAATATAGCCCATGGGTACTCTTACGCTTGTACGGTACCTGATTTTAGGAAAGTTGTTACCTACGCTCCAAGTCTAACAGTTTCTGGCTTGCTAGACACATAAAAGAAATCACTTTGGTACCATTATATCACACAATGCTCAATACAAAATGGTGTTGGGTTTTACTGGTAATGAAACATAATTTTTGTGTTTTGCTTTCGAAAAAATATATCAACATTGACAAATATGAAGTTTTTTTAACTGTTATCGATGTCAAAAAATATGATTTGACCAATAGCAACACACATTTTTGGAAGTCGAAACATTTTTACCCCTCTTTCAGTTGTGGCTGGTTGTTAGATTTTTTGTGTGTGGTGGTATCCTGTACACTCTATGGCCCAATGGTCTTCTGGTCTCTTTACAAGAACATCAAAGAAAGCTAGAGTATCTCTAAGTTCCCGTATTGTCATTTAATTTGATATAACCTCAAAATGAAAAATGTAGAGGTGTCAAATCCGGTAAACGAGCAGGCCATTCCAATAAACCGCGCCCACCAATTCACATGCCTGGGTATGTCTGATCCATCTTCAGGTCTCTTTACAAGAACATCAAAGAAAGCTAGAGTCCCTTGGGTTTCTCGTTCCATTGTGAATTGTATTTTTGGGTCGAAAGAGTTAGGTCATGATAGAAAATCTTTTAGTTTCTCTTCACTATCTTATCATATCATGAACGTATTATCAACATAGCGCAGCCAACAATATGATTTCATGGCCGCTTGCTCTAAAGCCGTTGTTCGAAATTTTCCACGAAAAAGTTTGCCACCGCCGGACTCGATGGATTGCCCATTGGGGTACCATTCGTTAGTTCGTAAAAAAAAACATCCCACTGGAAATGAGTTGATGATAAACAACGAGGGAAGAGGACGGTTATATCTGAAATGGTTGCGTCTTCAAACTTCAAACCAAACTCCAATATAACTAGTCTCACTATATTAGTTCTTGACTAGCTGCTACTTCATACTCAGCTTATGTTGTTTGTTTTTTTACTGGTAGATCTGATGGGATTTTCTTCAAGAAGAAATATGTAACCGCTAACTGGTTTTCTATCAGGTATATAACCTAATCAATCTTAATCAACGAACGTTGACTAGGCATTTGCTCCATTTTCAATTTTAAGTACTTTCTTCACTACATCCCAATCTATTTGCCTGGGCTGGCTAATTATTCGTGATGAATAATTCACACCTTATTTTCAGAAAATTTGAAACCATTCCAAAGTATTTTTTCTGGTACACTTTCCAGTTTCACTACATCCCAATCTATTTGCCTGGGCTGGCTAATTATTCGTGATAAATAATTCACACCTTATTTTCAGAAAATTTGAAACCATTCCAAAGTATTTTTTCTGGTACACTTTCCAGTTTCAATTTGAACTACCTGAGTTAAATACAAATACAAATTTAAATCAGAAATGAACCAAACAGATCTTTGTTTGGTCATATCTTCTAGAAATAAATGAATATGTAGATTAGATAAGATATTGTTTCAACTGTACTCTGGGTACTTCACAGATAAAATGATTATAAATGATTTTGAGGGAAAAACGATCAGTACCTTTCTAAAATGTTGTTTGTTACATTATTTTTGTTGTTCGTTCAGTTCTTGCTGGTATCCAATGTTAATGCAACAGGTGAGATTGTTATTTTTGAGGTTATTTTGATCAGATCCAACCTAAATAATCAAGCGAATTCAGAATCCATTGTTAGTATATTAGTTTCACAGTTTTGCCAGGTTTATTATTGATTTTTGAGCCCTGGACCATTGTATTCGTTTCCTTGATTTGTAACTATGACAAAAAAGTCAATAATGAAAACTAATTTTGCCAAAAGTTGACGTTGAATGTCTTTTCCCGATGAAAAATGAATGATTCAGAGCAGTGGCTCTGCTTTAAACATTCATGACACAATCTATCGGGGAAATCAAACAAATAATAATCGTCAAATATTACAAATTATGAAAAACAAGAAGTAAACTACTTGAAATATTATGGGGCTATAAACCTTTCGAAGGTGATAAAAGCAACGCAACTATGATTATATTGCTTGAAATGAGTATGAAAATTAACTTATACCTTTTAATCTATTGTTGACAATTTAATTTGCAGGTAGTGGTTCCACTAAATAATTACCGAAAAATCAATTAGGATAATCATCATTTAACAAACAAAGTCCACATCGGACCATAAAACTTTAGGTATATAAACAGCTAACCCTTGTCTTTAGATTCAGTATCAGTTTGCTTCTCCTGAAGATGTTAACCTTGTTAGCGAAACGCGCGTCGAGTGCAAAAATATCAGTTGGTGTTAGGGTAATTGATCTCTAGAGAAAGTTTTCAAAGATTGGTTTGCAAAACCACTCACTACCTCACCTAACCCCACGAATACACGGCACTGATAAAGAAATATTGTGAAACGGACAAAAAATTAGTATTCAGCCAGTGCAGCTAGCCGAGCCTTCATTCCTCAACTACATTTGATAGCACGTTTACTAACTATCTGGGCGACTAAGGGCCACATGCAAGAAATGTTTATGACTGTACTCTTATTTTTATTGCCGTTCCAATTGGGAATGGATGGACTATAATCGCATTGCCGACTCTTTAGCCAAGGAAGCAGCTGGACTAAGAATTTTAGGACTCAGTGGCACCTACGGTCTGATGATTTCTACAATTGCAGAATTAGCCAAACGTTTTACCAATGCACAATCCCTAAAGAGATGGGATGAAATCAAAAGATGCAATCTTGTGGGAAGCTGGCGCCGAAGAAATATCTGGCGATGACCAGGAAAAATCTACGCTTAACAGTAGGATTTCTCACTGGCCATTGCCAATTAAGGAAATACCTCTATAACATGGGGCTAGTGAACACATCTCTATGCAGGATGTGTGAACAGAAAGATGACACTGTCAGACATGTCTTATGCGAGTGTTCGGAGTTATCGTCAATAAGAGAGTGTGAGTGTGAGTCTTGGCCTACACCTACTGATATAAAGAAGAAGTCTTCTAGTGACCTGTACACCTTCCTGGCCTAAGTTCTGTGGACCTACACTCACCCTCCCCACTCTACAGATACAGATCTATTGATTTCGCCTCAATTAAATTTGGTTCAATATTTAGTTAATTTCCCATCGTTTTCGCAGAAAAAATACTACTTATCATGACTTCGATCTCATTTTTAACATTTCGCAATGTTTCTGGGGTAATGCCAGCACAAGTTTTAACAATTCTGTCTCTAAGTTCCCGTATTGTCATTTAATTTGATATAACCTCAAAATGAAAAATGTAGAGGTGTCAAATCCGGTAAACGAGCAGGCCATTCCAATAGACCGCGCCCACCAATCCACATGCCTGGGTATGTCTGATCCAACCAATTCCCTACACGGTATGTAACGTGCTACAATGGTTTATGTCTTCATGACTTCAACTAGAATGACAATATAGTCTCCAAATGTGGATCAATCAATCGTTTTGTTGAATTTTCAAGTTGATGCATGATTTGAATCATAATTTTACCTGATTGTTTAACTCAATGGTTTAATTCTTTCACTTCTGGAGTTTTTTAGATTTTATTATTGACTTGTTCTGTGTTATCATGTACGATCCCAAACAACGATAGAATACTTTTATTGTTATCATGGTATTTTGAACCAAATAACATTCAAGAAAAGTATTACTGTGTGGAAAAAGGCATATTTTGTAAACTAACACCACTAACACCACAATATTGCTAACCAAACCATTTTGTGAACTTTCAGGCTGCGAGGTTGATCCATTCGCCCTCGATACCCCGCTGCTGATCACCAACGGAAAATCATCTATAATTTATCCAAAATACAACGAAAGAACTGTCAAATTCGAACCTGGAGAGACAGTAGAATTCTCCTGCGCTCAGCGATTCGTTGTTCTAGATGGAAACCAAACAGACCCCATCGTCACAGCAACTTGCATCTCAGGTGAAACATTCAGCATCTTCGGAGAGGTCTACTCCTGGAGCCGCATCTCCTGCAACTACCACCCTCTGCCTGTGGGCAGGTTCACCAACGGCAACTGCAGCAGCTTAGGGAGGAATGCGGAGATAGGATTCGTCTTGGATGATCACCGCTTTCTGCGGACCATGAAGATTTGCTTCGACACTACGAATCAAGCTCCGCTATATTCCCAGTTCGAGCTCAGCAGTACGATCGCTGTGAACGCTGAAGGCATTCCAAGACCCTCCTTTCACGTGGATGATGGATTCTACAGAATCTACGACGGATCACTCAAACACTTGTATGTGAGAGAGGCCGAGCAGAGTACCGTCAACAAGCTACTGGGACTGAGCGAGAATTCTCAGAAATATATCCACAATGGAGATCTGTTTTTCCTTTCCAAGGGTCATCTATCGGCTAACGGGGACTTTGTGTACGCTGCGCAGAAAAACTCCACGTTCAGGTGATATTTTGAGTTCAGGGTATGGAAAGCTATTTAGACGGAAACGATATTAATCCTTATCAAGTTGAATACCTTAGTAACCTTAAGCATCCCATGCGCATTACAATTGCTGTTCAAACTATACGATTTCAATTAATATCTTGGGAGTTATCCCGAACTGAAAACAATTGAGCTAATAAATAAATTGCAGTGGCCTCATAGACCGATGCAACAAATGTGATGAAGAAATACTGCAATTGCATCATCAACCAATGACCACTCCTCACGCCGTGGGGTAACTGATCATTGGGCCGAAGAAGCATGTGCCCTAAGCAGATGCAATGATCCAAGAATGACCCTCTTTTGAATTTGTCCGGCCAAGATTCCTGCCCTAGTGCGGCACAATCTTGAGATTCGAGAGCAGAGAGGGAATTATTCCACCAAGGACTCTGATTATCAGAAAAATCATCATAACAGAGTAGTCTGGATAGTCTTGCAGAGTTCTAAGATAAAATCTCGACATTTCATTCGTTTTTCCTCCTCTTTTCGAACGATATTTGTCTTACACCGTCAGCGGCCATGCAGATCCTTCTAGATCTTCCTCATCTCAACATTTTACTGAAGAGAGAGGCTGAGTACAATAGACTGCTGGTTGACACTGGAACTCACAGCATTCTGAGAAAGTAATTTAATAGGATTCACCGATTTTTTGTTATACTCGATGGATAAACAGGACAGGTTGTTGTATACACCGACTTCGATAAGGCCTTTGATAACGTTCGACACAAAACTTTATTAAAAAGACTTACTGAAGTCGGTGTGAATGACTTTTTACTGCGATGGATACGGTCCTATTTGAATAAAAGGTCACAAATGGTATCCATAAATGGATTTACGTCACTCCCCTTCATGGTGTCCTCCGGAGTTCCTCAAGACACCCATTTGGGTCCTTTATTCTTCATTATATACATCAACGAAATCTCTAGTTGTTTTAATAAGTGTAAATTTTTGCTACATGCCGATGACTTGAAAATCTATCACAGCAGAGAGATTCAGGAGGACTTAAAGCGGCTCAAAAAATTCTGTGATGAACTGTCAAAATTTCAGAACGGCAAAACCTCTCCTCAATTTATATTATGCATATGTACATAGTAGGCTCTGCTTTGCATCGGTTGTTTGATCGTATGACAGAGTCCATAACAAATTTCTTCGCTATTTTTGTCACAAATAAAATTTTCCAATTCCGATCAGAGATTACAGTCCCATTCACAACACAACAAAAAATATTTTTTGAATGTTTCCTACACTAAATTAGTCAATTTCTACTAAATCCTTCTAGATCTTCCTCCTCTCAACATTTTACTGAAGAGAGAGGCTGAGTACAATAGACTGCTGGTTGACACTGGAACTCACAGCATTCTGAGACACTAATTTAATAGGATTCACCGATTTTTTGTTATACTCGATGGATAAACAGGTTCGGATTGATGTTGTATACACCGACTTCGATAAGGCCTTTGATAACATTCGTCACAAAACTTCATTAAAAAGACTTGCTGAAGTCGGTGTGAATTACTTTTTACTGTGATGGATATGGTCCTATTTAAATAACAGGTCACAAATGGTATCCATAAATGGATTTACGTCACTCCCCTTCATGGTGTCTCTGATTTCCCCAGGGCTTCGCTGTGCACATTTGAAGAACATAGTTTTAATAATAAACTCTCATTACAGGTACATCAACACAGCTCCTCAGTGGCAGTCAATAAACGGTTTCAACTGGAACCAGGTTGAAACTGACACCAGACATTATGCCACTATGCACAATGTTACTCTACGCGTCTGGACTGGGACTTACGGGGTAACCACACTGCCTCACGAAACTACTGGTGAAGAAACTGAGCTCTATTTGTATGTACATTCTGGACATCGTGGTCTTCCTTTACCAGCGATATTTTGGAAGTTGGTCTACGACCCACTGAAGAAGAAAGGAGTCGTTTTAGTAACAGTTAATAATCCTCACTTGAATCAAGATGGGGTTAAGAAATATGTTGTCTGTAAGGATATTTCGCGGTCAGTAACTTGGCTTAAGTGGGATAAAGACAATATTGCTCATGGGTACTCTTATGCATGTTCAGTACAAGATTTTAGAAACGTAGTTAGTTATGTGCCAAAACTTGATGTGTCGGGATTATTGATTTGATTGTGAACCATTGAAGGAACAATAATAAGTTTTTCAAGTCGTCAAAACACTTTGGATATACTTCTATTTGAATCGTTTGGGTTCCATATACGACCTAGACGGTCATGATCGATGACACCGCAAGCCCAAAATTCACGCCAATTAATTTCTTTTTCGGGATGAATTCGAAAATTTTGTTCACCTATCTATTAACCCAGAAATATGTCTCATCGCTGGAGATGATTTGTGTTTGTGAGGTTGCGTCAATTTTGAGGATGCCAGGGAGTAAGAAAGAAACTCTTTGATATTGCGTCAAGCTTTATTTACTTCTTCAGGACTTATATCGTGAGTTTGAGAGAAGCTAGTTCCTTCATAACAATCAAATCTTATCGGTCACCTTATGCAGACAAACAGGAACATTTAAATGTTAATTGAAATCTTTAAAAATTAGTTTTAGGTTAGTCACTTGAATCGTGATCTCATTGATGTATGACAGTTGTCAATTAATAACAGTTCTTCTTCTTCTTCTTTTCGATTCAATGGCCTCAGCAACTAAGGCTATCAGGCCAACAGTTATCAATTGACAACTGATATACCCTGAAGAAAATATTATTCTCACACCGGAACAAAAACACTGTCGCTTGGGGGGCGTTTCGTTCAACAAGTTAACATCATCAAGAGCTGATAGAAATGAATAAATTTATTTCACTCCAGAGGTTTCTTTTCGGCAAAATATAAAAACTATTACAATCACAATCTTTTAAGTTTTCTTTCAGTTTGTTGATCAAATGTTGTATTCATTTCGAAAAATTAGTGTAATGAAAGATTTTTGAGCTTTTTTGGATATCTTTATCTTGTATATTTCGGTGACAATTGATTGTAGCTGCCAACTCATTTGATGATAGCAGTAAAATTTCCCCCTTTTCCCAAAAAATATCACAACCATTGAAATTGGAATGTATTTGCCTACTCAATATTGCATTATGAACAATCCAATTTACTAAACTCTACAAAGAACATGTCAAAATATGTAAAAATATAACAAAAATAAAATTCTTTTATACAAAACACAAAATAAAAAGGTTCAACACACAATAATGACAATAAGGAATCAGTCTTTTCCTCTATAAAGGAGCAACTTTGTAGCCGGTTTGGTCTCTAACAATGACAATGCCCACTTTTTTCTTAGGAGTGCCCCTCTTCTGCATGTTCTCCAACCACTCCTTCTGATTTTCTGTTAAGGGCGAAGAGCCGGTTCCTGAAGCAGAAAACAGTGTCCCAAAAACCGATAAATTCTGGCCTCGTGAACGCTACTTAAAAATATTCAAATGGCAAAGTACCCTCTGCGATACCTTCAAGACCATAATAAAGAAGAACAATACAGTGTGAGACAATTAAAACGAAACAAGATATATTTTCCATGATCAGTAATTAGAACAAAATCGTCAAATTTGTCGACCTTGATTGTTTGGCGTTGATTTGATAAAAGGCCGCATTTGTCGTTAACATGAAAAGTTGTCAGTAGGAATGCACTTGAGCGTGTTAAAAGAAGCCATTAATCTTGCTTTAAAAGGAAATTTTGAACCTTGTGACAGTTGATTGTAATCAAGAGCCCAAACACAACGCAATTTTGCCTAGCAGCGCTGTTTCAGCCTGTTATAGGCCTCATCAGTGGTACTACGCTCAACCACAAATGCTTTGCTCTCCTATGATGTAATGCAGATACGTTCTTTTGTTTTTTGCGTGTCGAGAGTGATTCTTTGTGCAGTTGTTGCGGGGATGAAAGTCACATTTTCCTTCTTTCACAACAAGTGAAATTTTTCTTTGCTAGAAAATCTTGGAGGAGTGTTTATAACATTTGAACCTTACTAACCCTACTACTGACATGAAAACAATCAAGGAGTGGTGTGATGCTAATTTGCTATCCTTCAATATCACTAAAACAAACATTTCATTATTTAGATGTGCTCTTGATGACCTGTCATTCGGTGATAACTTAGTGATCAAGAACGAGACTCAATCTAAATTTCTAGGTATTCACATTGACAACAAGCTCAAATTTATTGAGCATATTAAACAACTTGGAAGTAAAATTTGCTAAATGCCAAAATATCCGGATATTTTACACTGTATGCCGATGACACCACCATAATGTGGCATGGTTCGGATTTAGAGTCCTTAAATAAATTGAATCATGATGATGTCAACATAGTTAGGAATGATGCAACTCAAATAAGCTTTCTTTCAATGTCTCAAAGGCCAGTTTTGTCGATGTACCTCCATTCATCATTTTTGGACTAATTCATGTTTTGCTATGTTTATAGTTTTAAATTATTTAGGTTCATCTTCTCATTGATATGTTATGTGTCTATTTTTAAACTACTAACATAGGATACGCTTTGTCAATAAGAATTTTTGTTCTTCAGACAATAAAAAATATTTTTCTCTGTCAAAAGATGGTTTGCAAATGTGGAATTGGTCTCCACATTCAAAAAACCACTCCTATGTTCTTTTACTTTTTGAAAAAAATGTTCTCCCCGTTTGGCCAATATAAAGTTTTGGAAAAGAACTACAAGCAACTTTCTAATAGTGGGATATTCAATAGCCTGTGAATCATTAAATGCTGCTACTTCATGTTGATAGGGATGTGTAGAGGAATTATGTATAACAATGTACGTTTGGTGGTGGTGGCGAATTCAATTTATGAGCTTGTTTCAGCGTTGATTTCGAATTCAAATCAGGAAGTTTTACATAAAAAATCACGATTGAAATATTGATTTGAATCTCACCAACATACCCTTGAACTTTCCATTGCATGAAGGACACGTGGCGCACCCAGACGACAGATCACAAAAAGAAGGAATCACCTCGTTTCCTCCTCCATCTTCTTTCTTCACGTTCACTCTTCGACTAATCTGGAACGGTTTCATCTCTTGACACCTCCTGACCCCTCCGCGCGACTTCCTTGCGTTTTCAGGAGTCTTCTTGCCACGAAAGCTGAAACCAACGTCGTTCCAGCGGTTCCACCCGATCTTCCGGAAGTGACTGGGCATGCGGAAGGACTTCTTCAGCTCCACGAAATCGGATTTCATATCGAGAAGCAATCGGCATTCGTGCAAGTCGTTATTGGTCAGTACCAGGGCAGCTCTGACCTGGGTTTTGGTCAGGGCCGGGTACAGGGGAGCCAATTGCTCGGTGTAATTGAGAGTCATGGCCGTCTTGGATATTCTCTGTGGACGGCTTTGGCTAGGCTGAAGCTGAGAAAATAATAATGATACTACTTACTCAACTTCGGTTGCACAAGGTTCATCGATGAGTCAAATGAAAACACACTAACAGAAAAATTACACAGGTAACGAATGATCAGTCTATAATGAAAGTAAACAGGTTGAATATCAAGGGTGTAACATAAGTATACACTTATACGTCACTTGAATATTTCAACGTACTTATGTTACACCATGTATAGGGTTTTCCAACAGGGACTGACCTAGGAACTGAAGGTAAACGACCATAGACAACGCTGAGTGGTTCTGGAGCAGTTGGCAACTGGCTCCAATTTTCATTGAAATCATCTTCAGCGATGAGGCCCACTTCTGGATGAATGGGTACGTGAACAAACAAAATTGTCGAATTAGGGACGATACCACTTTACATGAGATCTAAGTGCGTCCGATGCATGTCGAAAAAGACAGTGTTTGGTGTGGATTTTAGGCTGGCGGCATCATTGGTCTATATTTCTTTGAGAACGACGTTGGCCAGGCCATCCCTGTCAACGGCAAGCACTATAGGTCGATGATAACCAACTTCTTCTGGCCTCAATTGGATGATCTCGACACCAACGACATGTGTCACATTGGATATTCTGCACAAGCAATTTGAGGGCATGATCATCTCACGTGGTGGCCACCGAAATCGTGCGATTTCACCCCGTTAGACTTTTTCTTGTGGGGTTTCCTCAACTCGCAGGTGTATGCGAACAAGGCACAAACAACAGCGGTCCACAAATCCAACATAACCCTTGCCACTGGTCACATTCAGCATGATTTATGCCGCGGAGTCATGGAAAATTTGACTTTTCAGATGCGCTCCATCCAGAGAAGTCGTGGCAGGCATTTGAATGATATTATATTCCACACATAATGGCATCAATAGGTCTTTCAAACGAATACAAAATTTCTATCATGTCTCACGCTTTGTTTTATTCAAATTTAAAAATAGGAAGGGCTTTATGGAAGACCCTGTATTTACAACAAATGGTTACACACTTTTTGGGCTTCTACGTAGTTCCTATGGTGTTTTCAATCCGAAACGTTCCTTAGTTTCCAATTTTCATGCCTCGCACCAACGATCTAAAAATGCTAAATAGCTGAAACTGAAGAAGATTTGTTCGAGACGAGTATACCTACGTATCCCGCGAAATTTGAACATTTGCCGTATTTTTCAACAGACCTCGTAATGTTGTTCTATATTCATTATTTATTATTGTATCTTTTAGAACTATGCACTTGATTGCTTTTTGAAGATCGAAAATACGAACAATGGGTAGTTTACCAAAGTTATCTGCAAAATGCGCCATTCCATTGCTATTGATATCAAAATCAAACCCTGCAGAAAAACGCAAACTTTATGTTCGAATATTTTCTCTACCGTTAACGGTTACGTTCAAATTGAAAACTCACCTGTTGATTATGTGTGCTATCAGAATGTCTTCCTGCTATCTCCCCCCATTGTGACATTTTAAATTATCGACACACTAAATCACTACTACTGGACGGGATACTTTACAATTCAACAGGTCGCATCAAGCTGATACAAAAATTTCGAGGTTAGGTTCATCATTGCGAAACACTTCCCAAAAGAACCGAAGCGATGTTTTGCAGCATCAGCGCATCTAACGGCTGAATTTCAGTATTAATTATGGCAGTAGCCTGTAATATCACCCGGGAAAGGCGCATTTGAAATTTTCGTATTGAAACAAGGATTCTCTTTGGTAACTATACTTAATAAAAAACATGTTCAGAATAAAAAAGTGAACTGTTGAGAATGTATCGAAAAACCAAGAACTTCTTCAAGAGGAATTTCCTTTTCTGGATGGATTGTCTTGATGAGTATTTCCTGTTTGAGTTTCCTGTTCAGATTCCTCTTTGAATATTTCAACATGAGCCAGTGATATTTCTGGAAAAAAAATTGAAAAATCACTTATACTTTTTCCAAAATTTCTAAATGAATATTTGACTGAAGTCAGCTTTTTTTAGGTTACATATTTTCACAAAGCAATTTCATTAGATATACAGGGTGTTACTTTATAGCGATAGCACTCAATCGGAAGGAAAACGTTCTTGTTATTCGTTGAATTTTATGAATGTTTGATATATTTGAGTGGATAATGAAAGACATTGCCTTCAGATCAAGAATATCCGTCAATTATCTTGGAAAGACATTTTTAGAAAACGAAAACTCTCAGTTCTTCTTCGAAGTTCATGGGAACTGTTTTTTCCGATGTTGAATTGTTGTCTCTTTCCTATATAATTGATTATATAGTTACCTTCAACGAAATATCAGTGTTTCTGAATGAAATAAATTCAATTCCCACTGAAAATATCCACAATCTACAGTGGATTTGATACCAACAATTTGCAAATTTATAGATTGAACATATAAGCAGTTTCCAAAAAAATATAACAATTTGGATAGAGCAGAGTTACTCAGAATTTGAAAAATCTCGAGTAACTGAAGTTATTGAAACGAAAATTAAATCAAGAGAGAGTTCATACTCAGCCTAAGCAGCCAAAGGTATTTTTGAGCAATTCCAGAGGTATAAGTAGAATATCTGAAAATGACTGCCGCGGTTGCAGTTGAAACAATTCAAGATTTTAACCAAAAAAGACCCCGACAAAAGCCGGAAACCAACCAAAATAATGACGCCAGTCGTTTAAGCCAACATTCCTCCAAATGCATAGTCTATACATTTTAATCGATACTGCTACCTGTAATTTTGGTATTATTTCGTTTCATTATTGATAATGAGACATGGGTAAACAGTTACAAGCATTTTTTACGCCTAGTTTTGAAACACATGACTTCTATTTGTGCCACATTTGAAGTTCAATTCTATTTTGGAGAGTTCAAATCAGAAATGTAAAAACATCAGCTGTGTTTGTGTGTATTTTTTCCATCCTAGGCTTAATAAACAATCGAATGCAATGTCAGGACGCTTTGGTAAAAAATATTGCAGAATGTTGGTAGCAGTTGTGTTGTTACAAGTTAGAGAACAAATGTGGATGTTTCAAAGGTGGGTTGATTTGTACTAAATTGTAAATTATACAGTGTGATCCATTTTTAATGGGACATTTTTAATGGGACAAAATTTGAAATGTTCATTAAAGTTTCAGGGCATACTACGATATTTTTTCTTATTCGAAAATCGGGATTTTTCATTAGCGATTTTTTATTGAAAAAATCACTACGCCACTGGATTCAGAGTGCCTCTAAAGTGTCACACCAATATGGGAATGNCTATTTAGAACAATATTAGAAAAGCAAAATTTTAATGTTTCCAAAATTCTAGATACAAAACATCCATTAACAAAACCCGAAAGCATTTTGGATATCACTGTTACTGATTATTGTGAACCTTTGTTTTTTAGTTGTTAAGAAAGTGGGTGTTTGTTCATTGTAGTTCTGTATGAGTTCAAGAGAGAGAGCACTGTCGTGACGGTCTCTCGCACTCATACAGATCCACATTGTGCAAGTGCTTTCACAAAAGCTTAGAATAACAATGACTTCTGAAACGCTTTGGGCTTTTGTTAAAGAATGTTAAAGAAAATTTTGGAAAATTAAAACCAATAAAGTCAATTCTTTATATATAGGGTGTTCCGGGAGGAAATGGACATAGTAACACGGTAGGTACCTAGTATGAAATGAGGCCATTTTGTCTTTGAAAACAAAGATGCATATAATAAAAGTATCTAATTCAAACCTAAAACTATTCGGACAGTTAAAATATTCAGAGCCGCACTTTTTCACTTTCACTTTGATATTTTTCAAAATCAACATCTTTCAAGTAATATATTGAAATCTATGACTATCCACAAAAAGTCAATGAATGGAAGTTATTATATATAATATATATAATAAAGCACCCTTCTAGTAAACAATGGTGTAGGGAAGTTATTAATGGCAAAAAAGATTGACTGCACCTTTTTGGCCTTTCAGTAAAAGGTATTATTTATTCAAATTATATTAATATCTTTTTGTATGGAAGAGCAGGAGGTTGTATGGAAGAGCAACTAAGTTGAATACCGCCTCCTTGTTGCGATTATGTGGTATGATATATGGATTTCAAAATAATAAAGACACATTATTATTATCATTATTATGTGGAACCGTTTCCTACTTGAATTTCTTGCACATTGATTTCGATGCACAGTATGTAAGTATGCTTGTCATTTATTTTTTAATGTCCAAGAATAGAGGTGACTCCTAGTCAATCTTCATGTTTTATGTAATGAACCCAGAGCCAAATTTTTTCAGAAGATTGAATGAAGTAGGAGTTCTGGTTCTATTGGCAGCATAACTGGATGAATTCTGTCGGGTCCCAGTGACTTGTATGGCTGAAATGAGTTATCGCCCCTTTCAATGTACCACCAAGCTTACCACTTTCTTTGTCAATTGCCATTCTTCCTCTGACCTGGAAAAGTGAACCCAGAGACATTCTTTTCTAATTGTTTTTACTCCCCAATATGTTTCTAAACGTTTTTTGAGAATTGTGGTTCACTCGAGCACATGTTTCATCTCCCTTGCATTGCCTTTGATTTCCTCATGGCTTCGTTGTATACATGATCAACTCTCATTACAGGTACATCAACACAGCTCCTCAGTGGCAGTCAATAAACGGTTTCAACTGGAACCAGGTTGAAACTGACACTAGACATTATGCCACTATGCACAATGTTACTCTACGCGTCTGGACTGGGACTTACGGGGTAACCACACTGCCTCACGAAACTACTGGTGAAGAAACTGAGCTCTATTTGTATGTACATTCTGGACATCGTGGTCTTCCTTTACCAGCGATATTTTGGAAGTTGGTCTACGACCCACTGAAGAAGAAAGGAGTCGTTTTAGTAACAGTTAATAATCCTCACTTGAATCAAGATGGGGTTAAGAAATATGTTGTCTGTAAGGATATTTCGCGGTCAGTAACTTGGCTTAAGTGGGATAAAGACAATATTGCTCATGGGTACTCTTATGCATGTTCAGTACAAGATTTTAGAAACGTAGTTAGTTATGTGCCAAAACTTGATGTGACGGGATTATTGATTTGATTGTGAACCATTGAAGGAACAATAATAAGTTTTTCAAGTCGTCAAAACACTTTGGATATACTTCTATTTGAATCGTTTGGGTTCCATATACGACCTAGACGGTCATGATCGATGACACCGCAAGCCCAAAATTCACGCCAATTAATTTCTTTTTCGGGATGAATTCGAAAATTTTGTTCACCTACCTATTAACCCAGAAATATGTCTCATCGCTGGAGATGATTTGTGTTTGTGAGGTTGCGTCAATTTTGAGGATGCCAGGGAGTAAGAAAGAAACTCTTTGATATTGCGTCAAGCTTTATTTACTTCTTCAGGACTTATATCGTGAGTTTGAGAGAAGCTAGTTCCTTCATAACAATCAAATCTTATCGGTCACCTTATGCAGACAAACAGGAACATTTAAATGTTAATTGAAATCTTTAAAAATTAGTTTTAGGTTAGTCACTTGAATCGTGATCTCATTGATGTATGACAGTTGTCAATTAATAACAGTTCTTCTTCTTCTTCTTTTCGATTCAATGGCCTCAGCAACTAAGGCTATCCGGCCAACAGTTATCAATTGTCAACTGATATACCCTGAAGAAAATATTATTCTCACACCGGAACAAAAACACTGTCGCTTGGGGGGCGTTTCGTTCAACAAGTTAACATCATCAAGAGCTGATAGAAATGAATAAATTTCACTCCAGAGGTTTCTTTTCGACAAAATATAAAAACTATTACAGTCACAATCTNAATATATCACTGGAGGTTCTGGATGTTATGCAGTGAGAGTAACTTCAATAAATTTGGGAATCAAAACTGCCAGAACGGTGTATTACGCCCTCGTTGAATCCCACCTACGTTATGGAATACCGTTTTGGAGAGTATACAATTCATCATCACTTCTGTCTGTATCAGTACTGCAGAAACGGGCTATCAGGTATATGTGTAAAATTACACAGCTTCGTCCACAAGATCAATTCTCAATGACAATAAAGTATATTATTATTATTACTCTTCCAAATGTAATTCTTCATACCTACGTAGATCGAAACCACATAGCAAAAGCAAGAATACTTTTTGAAAAAGCGTACATGCTATGTTTATAGTTTTAAATTATCTAGATTCATCTTCTCACTGATATGTTATGTGCCCATTTTTAAACTACTAACATAGGATATGCTTTGTCAATAAGAATTTTTGTTCTTCAAACAATAAAAAATATTTTTCTCTGTCAAAAGATGGTTTGCAAATGTGGAATTGGTCTCCACATTCAAAAAACCACTCCTATGTTCTTTTACTCTTTGATCATTATTAGCAGAAGAGCAGAAATGTACTCTATTTTTACAAATTGGTATATGGAAGTGATTTTGAGAACGAGTATTTACTTGATGTAAGAATTCTCCTCAAAACTATCCCTATTCTTGAAAATATAGGGACATAATACAAAAATATATAACGATGGAAGTGTTAAGATTTTATATCTGCTGAAAAAACTTTTACAGCTCTCGGTACTAGGCACATTCATGATGCACTTGATGATTTTTGTTGTGCAATGTACTAAACACAATGTAATTTTTTTGGATTTGAAATATTTATTTTTCACCTCATTTTGATTTAATATCAAAAACGCACCCTAATTTTCCATTTGAAATTTCACGTATCTGAATATCTGCTTTTTTGAAAAAGTCGGTGGACTTTTTGTTTGTTGAAATCTCTATTTTGAATAGTGTAAAAAAATATACGTTACCTTGGTAAATATTCTCAGAGAATGCAAAAACAAAAACGAATCCAAAATTTTTTTCTATAAAAATTATCAGTGTTACTATCTTCATTCGGGTTTGAAGGTCGTCGTAGCTATTCATTAAAATTAACATAGTAATTACTCGTATTACGTAAGATTCCCGGTTACATTGATATACAAAAAAATTACGAATCCATTAAACATCAAGGTTGCAAAAAACATGACAAAATAGTTGTTCAAAATATCAAAGACAGGATTTAAAAATAATTTCATCTGAAATGTGTGTCTGCTACTTTTTTTCAGTAAAATAGCTGCTTTATTAATTCCTAACCACATTATTCTATATACCTGTGAATCGTACTCTTGAATTTATAGACTTTCCACTGATTATGTTATCCATTCATTATAATGTTTTTTAATACATTTGTCTCTTTCATGGCATTCTTCCGTCGCGTCTAACGACGCGAAATCTTCAAGACCATCACCGTCTTTGCCTCCGATATTATTTCCAGTCTGCATTGCTTCTTCATTCACAATTTCATCTGAATAATCAACTCCCTAGTAGGCTTTTTTCACATTAAATCATTTTTCAGAGTCTTGACACTTTGAGTATACATTTTTGCATTTTAAATCATGTTTTCGACAGCCACATCCAGTTTCACAGCTGCAGCAAATAGTTTTGAGCAATATTTCCGAAATTAATTTATTTTCTGTGAATTTGGGCATTATATACCACGTTGATGTTGCTTCCAACCCCAATCTGTTGCTGTCAGTTCGTTACCCAACCCAGTTCGAAGCTGATAATATGCCCTGTAACAATGTTGTTCTGCTGCAGCTTCTGTGGATGGGAGATTTGCCAATATGAAAGATGATTTAATTTTTGCCAACTGATATATTCGAAATTTCAAATGATTCAGTGTTACATTTTAATCTTTACACTTATAAATAGATTTGACAAATAACTAGGAAACATTCTCGTTCTCGTTCATCATTGAGACCTCGTTCTTGAAATGTTTCTTCATGAACAACACTTGTTAAATGCCATTCATGTATTTATTATTATTGATGAAAAATTGTTCCAAAACTAATATACGCCCTCAGATGTTCCTCCACTTGATCAAGTCAGTTAGAGCCAGACGAATTTGATAATTTACTCCGCAACACGGAATATGTTACAAACAATCATTTCAATAATGATTCATGGATACAAACAACGCTTCCTGTAAACTTTGGCGGACTGGGGCTACATTTGGCTTCTTCCTTAGCTTTACCAGCTTTTCTGTGATCAGTCAATAGTGTTTCTGATCTTATCGATTTCATCCATGCTTCCATATTTATCAATATCAAAGACGTTTTTTATGCTGAAAGTGAATCACTTTAACATGCCTCAACTAATATTGCTACTCCTACAGATAAAAATAAAATACAAAGTGCATGGGACCGATCTCTTCTGAACATTATAACTGATAAACTTCTGAAATCTACAAGTCTGTACGATAAGGCTCGTCTGAAAGCAGCAATGATGAAGGATTCGAGTGCTTAGCTGAATGCTTTACCTGTTGCATCTCTTGAAACATTATTAGATGATGGATCTTTCAGAATAGCACTAGAACTTAGGATGGGTTCATCTATTTGTGTGCCTCATACTTGTGTTTGCGGTAGTATAGTTGATGAGAAAGGTACACATGGTTTGAGTTGCAGGAGATTTCTCGTTTCAATATGTCGGTCACCAAGTGACCGACATATTGAAACGAGCTATGTTGTCAGCGTATGTTCCTGCAATTCTGGAACCCTTAGGTGCCAGGCAGATTAAGGTAAACGACCAGATGGTATGTCTCTCATACCATGGAAATACGGTAAACCTGTGGTATGGGTCTACTCTCGATACGGTCGCGTCTAGCCCATCTAGCCGGAAGTTCGAAGTTTGCTGGAACCGCAGCATTTTCTGGCGAATAATTGAAAAGAAAAAAATACAAAAATCTTGATAACAACTATCTGTTCCATCCAGTAGCGGTTGAAAGTTTTGGTGTTTATGGCCCGCAGTCTCTGTTATTCGTTCATGAACTTGGAAGGTGAATAGGCCAAGCAGTGAAAGATCACCGTTCTACTTCTTTTTTGATAGAAATAATTAGTATTGTTTTTCAACGTGGTGATGCTTCTTCGGCCCTTAGAACTATTTCTCCTTCACATAATTTTGATGAGATCATGCATTGCCCTAATTTCAGAACGGAACTGAAATCCTTCGAAATAAGCCGAGATATGTGGATATTCATCAGTCTTCTCTCAAGGTTAATTCACAAGTGATTGATCTATACCTTCTTCTTTTTCAGTGCAGTCAATGGACTTAGGTCATTCTTGCCCCCCAAATATCAGTTGCAGTCCTTCTACGAAACCCTTCTTCACTTGGAAGGAACGATCGCATCTCGAAAAATGGTTCTTATTCAGATTATGTGAAACATGTTCTTCCTTACGGATCAGTAGAGAGTTGTCCTGAAAATTTAGGACTAACACTTGCTACGTAAATAGCATTTTACAAATGTTGCTCATGACGGAAAATTTCAAAAATGAGGTTTTAATGATGAACGAGAACGAGAATTTTTCCTACTTATTCACCAAACTCTGTTCATGCCACTGCAGTTTCGTAAAAATGTATCATCTTTTCCTCCAACCGATTTCCTGGAGTCTTTGAAGTCCACTAGATACTCATTAGGACAACAATTGGATTGTTTTGAATTTCTGGGGTTCTTGGTGAATACTCTTCTTGGGCAAAACAATAGCAGAATCAATACTCCTGGCCGCTCTGGATTGAATGATTTTGGTCCATCTGGACCAAAAGTGCTGTATCATAAGCTTCAAGTGATTATATCTAGACGCATGGGTGCTGCGATTATCGGGAACACTATTTTCGGGTACTGCTAGCAGACTGCTGCCGATGAGAAAATGTGCTGGTGTTAATGGCTCCAAATCATTGGGATCATCCGTCAGGGGAAGTAAGGGACGTGAAATGTGAATACATTCTACTTGTGATAAAATGGTAATAAATTTCTCATAAGTAAAATTGATATTAGATATGACACGTTTGAGACGATACTTTGTCAATCGAAAAGCTGACTCCCACAAACCTCCAAAATGCGGAGAACGGGGAGGGCTACGATGCCACGTTATTTTGTTCTGGATTAGATAATCTTTAATAGTGTCAGAGTCTAAGAATTCGAATGATTCATTGGGAATATTCTCGGCACTAATAAAGTTAGTTGCATTGTCTGATAAGATGTGACTACATAGTCCACGTCTTGAAACAAATCGTTTGAGCGTGTTAAGAAATCCTTCAGAGGTAAGATCTCTTACGAGTTCTAAGTGCATAGCCTTTGATGAAAAGCATATGAATATGCATTTATAAGATTTAATAAATTTTTTATTC